AGAAAGATAAATATATGATCTCACTCATTGGTGGAATTTAAGAAGCAAAACAGATGAACATAGGGGAAAGGAAGGAAAAATAAGGTAAAAAGAGAGAGGGAGGTAAACCATAAGGGGACTCTTCAATACAGAGAACACATATGAGTTGCTGGAGGAGAGGTGGGGGGGGTGGGGAATGGGCTAAATGGGTGATGGACATTAAGGAGGGCACTTGTTGGGATGAGCCCTATATGTAAGTGATGAATCACTAAATTCCACTCCTGAAATCATTATTACACTATATGTTAACTAACTTGGATTTAAATAAAATTTAAAAATTAAAAAAAAAATCACAAGAGCCTGCTTTGTAGTCTTCTCAACACATAAATTTGAAAAATTAGATAAAATGAATATTTTCCTGGGAAAAACAGATTGCCACAATTGACCACATTTGATTTAGAAAACCTAAACCAATTTCCATAGAAGGAAAAAAGTTATTGAGTAACTACCCTACCAACAAAACAAAACAAAAAGCAACACTAGGCCCAGATGGCTTCTCAGATAATTCTATCAAACCTTCAAGTATCCAGGGCACCTGGTTGGCTCAGTTGGTTAAGTGTCCGACTGTTGATTTTGATTCAGGTCATGATCTCACAGTTCATGAGATCAAGCCCCATGTAAGGCTCTGTGCTGACAGTGCTTGGAGTTCTCTCTCTCTCCCTTCCTTTCTTTCCCTCCCCCACTCACACTCCCCCCTCCCTCTCTGTCTCTAAATAAATAAATAAATAAATAAACACAACAACAACAACTTCAAGCACCAGATAATCCCAGTGCTCTATAAATTATTCCAGAGGGAAAGGAAAGGAACATTTATATGAAGCATGAATAACATTGATACCTACACCAAATAGACAATGCAAAGAAACAAAATATCACTCATGCATAGTGATGTAAAAATAGTAAATACAATATTAGCAAATCCAAATCCAAACCATTAGAATCCAAAATCACATTAAAAAGGTAATATACCTAAACAATAAAAAATGTAAAAAAATAAATAAATAAAGCGGGGGGCGCCTGGGTGGCTCAGTTGGTTGGGCAGATGACTACAGCTCAGATCATGATCTCGCAGTTTGTGAGGTCGAGCCCTGCATCGGGCTCTGTCCTAAGAACTCAGAGCCTGGAGCCTGCTTCCGATTCTGTGGTTCCCTCTCTCTCTGCCCCTTCCCTGCTTGTTCGCTCTCTGTCTTTCTTGCTCTCAAAAATAATAATTAAAAAAATTTAAAAAAAAGAAGGTAATCCAAGTAGGATTTACTCCAGGAATAATGCAAGGTTGGTGTAATGCTAGGAAATCCAGTAATATCATACATCCTATTAATAGCCCAAATGAAATAAATTATAAAATTATCTTCATATATACTAAAAAAGTCTTTGAAAAAATACAATAGTCATTCACAATATAAAAATAATCGAGTAAATGGAAATTTATGAGTATTTTTTAAAGGATAAATGTGTATGTGTAAGTTTAAAAAGCAAATAGCTATAGTATCCTACCCATTGTATAAGAAAGAAGGAGATGTAAGAAAGTATGTCTGCTCATTTGTGCAAAAGAAATATGGAAAGGATAAACTAAAAAATGAAGAGAATGGTTACCTATAGGGCATAAGTGGACAAGGAATAGAAAGAAGGGTGGAATTAAGTAAAGATGAAAAGGAAAAAATACTTCTTAGTATATTTCTATTAGTTCTGACTCTTAGAGAACCACGGTAACAGTAACATTTCACATAGCACCCAAAATAAACGGTTCCCTTTTTTGAGTGGAATTAAAATGGAATACAAACAGTAAAAAATGAACCTAACTGCATTACAAATAAAAAATGTAACCATACTGAAGAGAATGGGAAAGAAAAGACCAAATCTAAGTAAATTTCTGGACACAGTATTTTGACTGGACACTATAAGGCTAAAAACAAAAATCACTGTACTGTTCTCTTGTTAGTACAGGAGTATGGGTTTGCAATTCTGTAACTATTGTACGTGTATGTGGGGACTGAACAAACAAGTCAATAGGGATCATTAGAGACAGAATTTTCACTGAGGAAGAAGTTACACATGAAGAAAATGGAGAAGCTACAGTGATCTGTATTAGAATTGGAGGTATCAGGATGGACTCGTGGGTTTAAAATATATGCAGTTAGATATAGAAACATATGTGTGTGTGTGTATGTGTAGATAGACATACATATGTCTCCTAGCTTTGTGTGCTGAGAGGGCCTGCAAGAAATGATATTCCAGTAGCAACGAACATAGCCAGAAGCCAGATCTTGATTTCTGAACACCATTTTTCAATTAAAGGAACTCAGGCTTTTTGGAGAAACAGTTGATTCTAGTGCTGGAGCAAGACATGATAAGCTGAAACATTTAGTAGTGCCAGAAAGTAAGGAAGTACTCAGAAAAAGGACAGAGGCATGTCATAAGGACACAGGAAACCAAACTGAAGAAGCTAATAATGATAGTATTGGATTGTAATCTGTAGAATAAACTGAATACCCGGGAGTCCACATTGAAATAAATAAAAATTGAATAAATGTGTGTGAAGGAGCAGTCTTTATTACAGAAGAATTCTAATTGATAAATGTAGAAGGAATAAAGAAAAGAAACCCACTAGGCAAACCTCAAAGGAGTTATTGTTGCAAGCAAGATCTACCAATGGATACTAAAATCAGTGGGTAAAAGTTTTACGTGAAACAGGATAGTTTCATAATCTCAAAGTATCCTCACCAAGATATTTATCAGTTATAAAGGGAAACACAGTAACTTTACACTGGAGAAAACTGGCATTCACCAACCTAACCAAGTAATCAGGGTAAATATTACCAGTACTAAAGTTTACAGATATCATGTGCCCCTTTAACCTGATGCACTGAGAAGGACAGAGCATCACTTCTGTGATGTTCTTGCCAAAAAAAAAAAAAAAAAATGCATAACCTTAAAAAAATTGTATAACCTCTGTTTAATAATGAGAAAACATCAGACAAACCCATACAGAGGAACATTCCACGAAAGAATAACCAGTACTCGTTGAAATGTCAAGGTCATGAAAGAGAAGATTGGGAAACTATTGCAAATTTGGAGGAGAGTAAAGAAATACAATCATGAAGTATGGTGTGGAATCCTGAATTGGATACTAGAATAGGAAAAAAGGACATAAGGAGAAAAACTGGTAGATAAAAAAAAAAAAGGTCTGTGGTTAGTGCACAAATGTTAATTTCCTCGCCATTAAATATTGAATGCTTGCCCCTAAAATCAGAAATAAAGCAAGGCTGTATGCTGTTTCTGCTTTTATGCCATATGGTACTAGAATTTCTAGACAGTGCAATAAAGCAAGAAAAATAAATAAAAATAATTAAGATTGGAAAGGAAGGATCAAAATTGTATTTACTTATAAACAGCATGATTGACCACATAGAAAATTGTAAGAAAGCCACACACAAAAATTAATAAGTGAACTTAGTATTGCCATGGGATAAAAGGACAATAAACAAAAACCTATTGTATTTTTAATATGCTAGCAACAAACAAGTGGAAATTTTAAAACTTCTGTTCTTCACAAGATACCATTAAGAAAATGACAAGGCAAGCCACAGAGTAGGAGGAAATATTAATCATCCTTCTCTGATAAAGGATTTATATCCCAGATATATCAGGAATTCTCACAACTCAAGAAAAGGGAGACAACCCAGTAAAAAAAAATGGGCAAAAGCAACAAGGACTTCACAAAAGAAGGCGTTTGAGCAGACAACAAAGCTACATGAAGATACTCCACATCTGATAACATCAGGTGTTGCCAAGGTTGTGGAGCCACTGGAACCCTCCAACATTACTGGTAGAAATATAAAATGACAGCTACTTTGGAAATCTGTTTGGCATTTCTTAGAAAGTTAAAGATATGTTACCATATGACCCAGCAATTCCACTCCTAAATAGGATGGGCAAAGCTAATATAAGGTGGAAAAAAAATCAGATCAATGGTTGCCTGGAGCTAAGACAGAGAATGGGGATAGAGAGACCACAGAGGGGCCCAATGGGGCAATAGAAATGTTCTCCATCTTGAATGCAGTTATCTGGGTATATACACTTCACAACTCATTGAAGTTGTACAATTAAAATGAGTGCTTATTATAGGTAAATTAGACTTTAATAATGTTGCTTTTAAGAACAAATATAATAATCAGTTAATGCTTACTGAGTATTTATTTTAAGTGCTTTCCATATTCTGCATCATCTTATTGAATTTTCAAAACCATTTCATTAGGTAGGACTTTATCATCCCCATTGTTCAGCTGAGGAGACAGATACAGATCACAATAAAGAATAAGCATTTGAACCCAGGCCATCTGCCTATAGAACCTGTGCCCTTGACCACTGTGCTACAGGGCTAGAATATCAGGTATCTCCCCCTCGATATTAATAAAGTTCATCCTCAGGACGTGCTAACCAAGCTCTTTATTTGGAGCAGCCAAAATAAGTGAGTATAGACACAGGAAATGAAGGGAAGAAGCAAAGGAAGGGGCAGCCTGGGGTAGGCTATTCCTGCTACCCATTTGGAATCACCTGGTGCCTGGTCCTTGCCCCACCCTAGACTGACCCAATTAGAATCTGTGAGGTGGGCCTGAGAACCCTCATTTTAATAAGCCACCATCCCCACGTCTGCCCCAGTGAGAACAGTAGAGACAGGTCTATGCAGGGGAAAGTCTGTGGGTCAGACCAACCTGGGTTTGAATCCTGACCCCTGCTGACCCTTGCGTACCTTTCTATGCCTCAGCTTGCTCATCCCTGCAATGGGCATCAAAATAGTACCAACAGCTTAGGAGGGTGGCTGGGAAATTTACCTGATTTGAGGGAGAACGAGGCATAGTACCCAGCACAAAGAGGGCACTCAATATATGATGGATTCAAATAACAACTGAATGAGGGACCAAGCTCCACCCAGCACCTTTCTCTCTCTCCTTCCTCTCTAGGCCCCGGCCTGGCCTTTATTGCTTACCCCAAGGCTGTCACCATGATGCCTCTCTCCCCACTGTGGGCTGCCTTGTTCTTCATGATGCTGATCTTCTTGGGCCTGGACAGCCAGGTAAGGGGGAGAACCCAGGCTGGGAGGGCAGGGAGGCCAGACACTGCACTTGGGAGCAGCTCAGGGGCCTGATTGCCACCTCTAGGTGCTGCTTGTCAGGGCCCTGCTTGCTGTCCCCATGTGGTCTCCTCTCAGCACCCCCTTCCAGGCGGTCTCCTCTGTCACCCCCAGATGTACCTGTATGGGTCCCTCCACGTCTTCCCAAACATACTTTCCCTTACCCAGAATTCCCAACTCCCAATAAAAAAATTTTTTTTAATTGTTAAATACTTCCATTTGGTGAAAATATTTCTGCCTAGTAGCACCACTTAGCAAGCAGGAAGAAATTCTCAGAGAGAGGCTTATAGTTAATGGCATATCTGAGGGCTCTGTCCCAGTCAAATCGTGGGGGACACAGGAACACAGAAAAGTACCTTCTTCCTTCATTCTTCTCGGTGTTACGGCCCCCCAAGGCACTCCAGGATGCCACAAGGGTCCTCAGTACCACCACCAGCTCCCACTCACCCCACATCCCACCCATCTGCTCTCTTCTCATTGTTGCTAATAGGGCTCCCCCCACCCACCCTGCACTTGGCAGCCTGCCTTCCTCAGTGAAGGGTGTATAGTTAGAACTAGCAATTTATCTGTGCACGTTTTCCGTTTTCTCCTCACGAAGGCATGCATTTAATCTCACCCTGTAAAACTCACCCCAGCCTGCACTCCCAGCCCTCCTCCAGTCCTCTCCTCGGCTTTCCAGCCAGACCCCCATGGCCTCCAGTCACTCTCCACTCGACGAAATCCACCCTTTTGCCTGCTGTTCCAGCACAGCGGGCTTTCCTGTGAGCCCCAGTGAACATCTTCTACCCAAGGCCGGAGGCTGTGCTGTCAGCCTCTGCGGCAAGGTGCTACGCCCCACCCATGACCTTGTGCAAGTCGCTTAGCACCCAGACCTCATGGCCGGTGTGTCTGTCAACCCAGCCAAGTCCGATCTCCCCCCCGGATGATTTCTCAGAAACTGCAAAGCTGAGTTGCTGAAGCACCGGGTGTTCCTGCTGATAATCTTCCCTTCTATTGTTGAGGGCCGAGGCCTCGGGAGGGATTGGCAGCTTGTGCGTGACAGTGACTGTCCTGCAGTGGGAGGTGGGGGACGGGGGCCTCGGCTCTGTGAGTCCCTGGGGGTGTTGAGTGGAGCCAGCACTTGGGCTGAGACACTGTGCTAGCAAGGGAGACCCGGGGGCCCAGCGGGCAGGTGGTGATCTGCTCCCCCCCACCCCGTGTGTGCTGTGCTATGCTGGGACCACATCCTCTGTTCTTTGTCACAATAACCACATGGACCGAGGACCCTTGTGTCATCCCCATTTTGCAGATGAAGAAACTGAGGCCGTGTGACCAGCTGGGACATGCACCCAGGTTTTTGTGCCTCTTAGCTACCGCATGCTCTGATGTCTCTTCAGTTTGGGTCCTGGATAAACAGCCTTCCCTGAATTGCATCTCCTTCCTTCCCTGGGGACCCCGGAGAAAGGATGAGTGCAGCCAGCCTTACTGTAGAGACAGGGTAGCCTGGAGGCTAGGAGCCTGGGCTTTGGGGTCAAACAGGGCTGGGTGTGAGTCCCAGCTCCATGACTTTCACTAGCTGTGTTCCTCTGGGCTAGTCACTTCACCTCTCTGTGCTTCAGTCCCCTGCACAGTGAAGTTGGAAATACCTTTTCTGAGGGGGTAGAAACGAAAAGTAGAAAGGATATGGGTCCAACAGATGGCCCCAGGGAAGGGGGTATCTCAACATGGTGACCAGTAAAAGAATTCTTTACTCTTTTTGCTGCCCTCCCTCTTGGCAGTCCAGCACAGTGGTTAAAGCCCAGTCTGTAGAACAAGATTCCCTGCTTCCTACCCAGGCTGTATCACTGAATACCTCTGTGACCTCAGGCAGGTGGCCTACCCCCTATGCTTACACGTCCTCACTTATGAAACAGGGATAATAATAGTACCATAGAGATTAAATAAATTAGTATCTGTTAAATGCTTAGAATAGAGCCTGGCTCACCATAAGTAGCATGCATTTGCCATTATTTATTATTATTATGAATTTATCAACCTTTTCTGAGGCCTTTCCTCTGTGCCACTGGAAAGAGATGAAAATCCAGGGTCCCACCTTGTAAGGGGACAGATATAACCAAGCACGGGACCCATGAGGTGAAGCAGAGGTCGGGGGGGGCTGGGGTAGAGGAGAGGAAAGGTCTGTTCTGCCCAAGTTGGGGGAAAGAAGGAGCAGTCAGGAAAAGGCTTATGCAGGAGATCTGCCCATGGTCTGGAAGAACCCAGGGAGGAGGGTGACTGTGTGTTGGGATATTTGGGCTGGGTGTTGATGGTTGAGTAGGAATAGAAGTGACACCGTGCGTCTGGCCCTGTCTCAGCATGGTGGGATACAGACAGGGGCTCAAGCTGTGTTGTCTTGAGCCTGCCCGGTCTGGCCGGGCCCAGAGTCTCCCACAGCACAAACACAAGAGCTGGGAGTTGGCTCGCCTCTGATTGCTCTCCATGCATCAGAGGGGTGCTTGCCCAGCAGAAGCAAAGGACAGGGGAACTGTCACAGTCCTAGAGAATGAGGAAATCAAGCTCTGCCTGCAGACACTGACCAGAGCCTGCCACTACCAGAGCACTCACTCTCAGGATAGGTACAGAGAAGCCTATCTTGCCTCCCAGACAGCGTCTCACTTAAGTAGTCGACCCCAGAACAGGGCCCAGCACGTAGGCTCCTGATAGGAAATATGGGGGAGAAGGAGTACTAGCTTTGGAGTCAGAGACCCCAGTTCAAGTCCTGACTCTGCCGCTTCCTTGCTGAGTGACCTTGGGCAGGTTACTTCCCCTCTTGGAGTTTCAGGGTCTCCATCTTTTCCATGCACTTGCGGAAGTTCTATTAAGTGCTGGGATTGTTGTTATTCTCGGGCCCTCTGTCAGTGTGAGTGTGGGAAGGAAGGTAAGGCCAGCGGGCGAGAAGCCCAGGGGTTAGACGTGTTGCACTTGTCCAGAGCCAGGGCTGCTGAGAACTGGCTTTCTCCTGGACTTGACACCATCCTCTCTGCCCCGTCCAGTTTGTGTGCGTGGAAAGCCTCGTGACCGCTGTGGTGGACATGTACCCCAAGGTCTTTCGGAGGGGCTACCGGCGGGAGCTGCTCATCCTGGCTCTATCAGTCGTCTCCTATTTCCTGGGCCTTGTGATGCTAACGGAGGTGAGCCATGTGGACACAAGTAAGCAATGTGAACACGGTAACGTGACGGTTAAGTGCCTGGGCTCTGGCTTAGGCAGGTCTGATGTCAAAGCCCAGCTCTGGAATTGGCCATCTGACCCTGAGCAGGTCTAGCACAGGTCTAGGACTCAGTTTCTCCTCTTTGTAATGGGTTGTTGTGCAAATCATTCGAAGTTCTCCTTGAGCCCCTAGCATAATGTCTTACGCGTGTGAAGGCTCAGCTAAAGGTCACCGTGGTCGCTACCAGACAGGAGTGAAACTCAGAAAGGGAGATACTGGGTTTATCTGTAGTCATGAGCCTCTGGATGCCCGGACCACTCTCACTGTAACTTCTGGGTGAAAGGGACAGTGTTAGCTATGCACCCTTCAACCAGGTACTGCTCTTGGACTAACATTCAGAGCAGGCTTTTCTGGGACATCACTGAGAACGACACACATGAGGATGTATGGCACCTTCAGGCACTGTGTGTCTGAGCCCCAGAACCCCTTATGTATCCCTTTTCTTGCCTCTGCTGGGCCTGTGGGTGAGGAGGGGTTCACCATTAACCCCTCAAATTAAGACTCTCTTGGGGCACCTGGGGGGGCACCTCGGTTAAACGTTAGACTTCAGCTCAGGTTATGATCTCACGGTTTGTGGGTTTGAGCCCCATGTCAGGCTCTGTGCTGACAGCTCAGAGCCTGGAGCCTGCTTTGGATTCTTTGTCCTCCTCTTTCTCTGCCCCTCCCCAACTCTGTCTCTCTCTCTCTGTCTCAAAAATAAATAAACATTAAAAAAAAAAAAAAGACTCATAATACCATGTTTCTCCTGCAACCATCCTGTCCAATAAATACTTTCTCAAGTACCTTGAGGTGGTGACATTAGGTATCTTTTCCCCCATACTCACAAAATTAGTTAGTTTAAAAAGAAAAAAACACAGAAAACTGTTGCTGGGAGACAAGAAGAGGTTTAGTAAGAAACGTGGAAAGAGAGGAGGGAATTCCAGATCCATCAAAGCAGCTGAGGTGATGATACTGAGGTCGGTCTGGGGAATCTTCCGCATCCTCTGCTTCTCAGCTCAGAGGCTGCCTCCTGGAAGCCTCCTCTGCTTTCCTTCCTCCAAGCACTTTGTTCCAGGCTCAGCCCAGCCTTTCTCCCACCTTAGAATGACCCCTCCAAGCACCTGTCTCTCCCCTACCAGGCTCTGAGGTCCTTGAAAACAGGAGCTGGCCTTGCTGGGGCCGGTGGGCTCTCTTCCCTTGGGGCCTCATAGGGGGCAGGCACTCAGGGCGTGGTGGCTGATTAGTGTTCCTAGTCATTGTCACATTAATGGAAGTGATAATCAGCTTTGTGCAAATGAATGGTGTGGCATTCTATCTCTCCTCTTCCCACTGGGGAAACCAGCCCTGCAGTGAGCAGGGCTTCATTAAGTGCTGATTCATTACACAAAGTAGAGTCTTTTGTCACCTACGTACAAATTGGAGGGTTAACGTGATGAGTTAAAGGGGGCTGGTGGGGACTGGGCTGCAAGAAGATAAGCCGGGCTGTGGGCGTGGATGTCACTGGCCTGGAGCAGGCGGGCAGAGGACCCTGCTGGACCTCCGGTGCTGGGGGCCCCGGGCCTCCCAGAGCCTGCTTGCCCACCCTTCAACCTGAGGGCGTGGATCTGCCCAGGGGTGCCTCCTGGCCCCCAGGGAGGAGCTGACCATTCATCAGCAGATGCGTGGGCTTCACATGCCGACCTTCTGCCTCCCTGCAGGAAGATCCGTGAGTGAGCGCAGCAGGAAGTTCAGATGGCCAAATGGGCCGTGTCCGCCCCAGCCTCCACAGTAATTGCCGGCGAGATCCTCTCCCTTAAGTATACACATTTAAAGTTCGGCTCTGGGGAAGAAATAGGCCACAGATTTCTTGTCTTCCACGAAGGCATTGTGGTGGAGGGTTAAGAGCACAGGTTGTGCAGCAGTCAGCCTAGGTTGAGTCCTCAGCCCAGTGACTGGCTAAAGCCGGATGACTCTGTGCCTTGGTTTCCCCCATGAACGCCGAGGACAGCAGTCGTGCCTGCCTCGTAATTAATTACACACACTGCAAGGACCAACCAGACTGAGACCCAGCACGCAGTTCACTCAGAGCCTGGTGCTTGGAGAGCGCTGCATACGCATGTATGGTGTTCATGGAAGGAGACGCTCAGGAGAGCCCTTGGGAGTGTGGTCTCTGCTTTTAACTCAGAAAGCCACGCCCACTGCTGGTCGCAGAGGAGCCTCCAGTTGGCTCCTTACTCTCACAGACCTGAATATCCACCATGTCCGGCACCGATGGGAGGCCCCAGACCAGATACGGCCCAGAGATCCCCTTTGTTTCACCCCCAATGTGTTTTTAAGAACGTGAAGAGGTTGCCAACTATTCAGGAGAGAAAGATTTCTCAGGAAAACCTGGATTTCTAGCATCTTCTAGAAAATCTGCATATCTGGCCACACTCAGACCTGCCTCCCCCAGCGACTCAACCAGACTTGTGTGTGGCCAAATAGCACTAGTCCCCACCACTTCCTGCCAACTGGGCCAACGTCTCTCCCTTGTGTTACCTGTCTGGCCCTGTAGGCACTGAGATGTTGCCCCTGATGCAGCTGAAGAGATGTGAGGAAATAGTCCCAGCCTATGTGTGGAAATAGTCCCAGCCCAGTCCAGATGTGAGGAAATAGTCCCAGGAGGAGGCCCTGGGGGCTGTGGGAGCACAGACCAGAAGCTTAATTCCAATTACCTCCCTGTGGCTGACACACAGGAGGCTGTCCAGGCTTTGTCCTGGCCTCTTACCCTCCTGTCCTGGCATTCACAGTGCCTCCCCCAACCAGACCCTCCTTCCCTTTTCGACTTTTATTTCTCCTGCTGTTGGTTGTGTTCCCCTAAGGGCAGTCACTTATTATAAAGATTTTCTGTAAGGATCCCAACCCTTCCCACACCTGTAGCTGGCCTCCCCGCCTCCCCCAGCCCAGATGCCATCCCTCCTTTTTAGGAACCTTCCCGGATCACCTTGGCCACCTGAGCTTATACCTCCCAGGCCTTTCCCTGAAGTCCATCATCACAGATGTATATACCACAGAGCTGGCCCATGCCAATCCTGCATTCCACAAAGATTGCACACCTAGTCTGTGCCAAGGCCTTGACCAGAAATGGACACAGCTGTGGACAAGCCATTCAGAGTCCCTCCCCCATGGGGCTCTCACTCCACACAATTCAACTTGCAACTATCAGGGACCTACTTCGAGCCAGGCCCTGCGCTGGCAGGAGACAAAACTGGTGTGGGGGCCTCCCCAGCAGAAGCCCAGAGCTAATAGAGCAGCTGATGGGAAAACTTGTTTTAAAAACTGTGAATCCAGAAAATGTGCTACAGAGGCTTTCAGGGAGGGCTTCCTAGATGAGGTAACATTTGAGCTGAGCTTTGAAAGAACTTACCAAGCAAAAGGGAACAGCACAGAGGCAGGACGATCCCTTGGTCTGTCGGGGGGAAGCGTGTTGAAGTCGGCTGGTAGGAAGGCAGACAAGGCCGAGTGAGAGGGCAGCTGTGACTGTCAGGCTGCCTGAAGCCAAGGGGTAATGTTAAGCTGTGGAGGCACATGGTTGGATTTGCGTGTTATAAAGGTCCTGGTGAAAGCTGATGTGCCCAACATCTAGAGAGAGGGAGACCTGTGGGGAGGCTGTTAGAGCCATCAGGGAGAGGGGCTGAGGCCACCTCTGGTTTTCCATGTTGTCTTTGGCATGTGGGGAACAGAGACAAGACAAACGATTGCAATCTGAGCAGCCCCAGAGGGTGGAATCTTATGGGGTGCCCAGGTGCAGAAGGGATATCGTTTGGGGAGGATAGGGAGAAGCAGTCTGCCCTGGTGGAAGTGACTCCTGGCCGATGGTAGCCCCAGGGCAGAGCAGAGGCCTTTCTGAGGCCAGCTGGCCAACCCTGCTCTCCCATGTGTGTTTGCGTCCCTCTGTCCATGTATCTGTCCTCCTGCTCTGCAGGGTGGCATGTACATCTTCCAGCTCTTCGACTCCTATGCTGCCAGCGGGATGTGCCTTCTCTTTGTGGCCATCTTTGAGTGTATCTGCATCGGCTGGGTGTATGGTGAGTAGAGGCCGGGCCCACCCACACCCCAGCAGCCTGCCGTGGTGCCCAGCATATGGACGCCTGGGGCCTGGGAGGGCTCAGGTTCTCCGTGGCTTGTCTGCATCTGTGTCCACCTCTTCTTCCTTTCCTCAGGGGCTCGGCCTTTCATACTTGTCAAGAGAGTTTCTTACTCTTACACCCCTGCAGCACAGGGAGGGGTTCCAGACTCAGGCACTGTGACCTTGGGCCTGTGCTTCTCTGCCCCTGAGCCTCAGTTTTCCCATCTGTAAAATGGAGTAGCCCTCACCATGTCTACAAGTAGGAGATAGTGTGGGCAAAACAACAAGCACAGTGCCTGGCCCTCAGTCAGCAGCTGCCTTGTGGTCCTCCTGTTTCCTCCTATATCCTATGAGTGGATGAGGATCTGGCTCATTGGTGATGGACACCCCCACTGGGAGCATAGCTTGGGAACAGGGCCCCCTGTGGGCTGCCCTACTCATTAACAGTCCAGCCAAGCAGTCGCCTTCAGAGCCCTGCCCCTGCCCCCACGCATGTCAGCCAGGCCCAGGGTCTGCCTCTCAAAGGGACCACCTTCTACTTTGCTCCCAGAAATGTTTCCTCTTTACTGTTTCCTGGGCCTCACTGCCCAAGGTCAGTGGTGTTCCCAATATCAGACCAGAATTCCTCCTACTGCAGTATATTCTGAAACCTCACATACATAACATCCTGGTAGCTGTTCAGTGGTAAATAAGGTCCCTGCCATCATTTGTCTGTCTCGGGCTGGGAAAAGCAAACACTTCTAGCCTTCTGTCTGAGTCTTGTACAAAAATTCTCTGGGATGTGTGTGTGGCTGTCTGTTTTATCCTGGACAGGAAGCAATCGCTTCTACGATAACATCGAAGACATGATTGGCTACCGGCCACTGTCGCTCATTAAATGGTGCTGGAAGGTTGTGACCCCCGGGATCTGTGCGGTAAGGGCCCTGCCAGAAGCTGCCTCCAGCCCGCCCACCCGCTTTTCCACTCTATCGCCACAAGCCTGGCCAAGGCTGAAACTGAGGAGGTGATGGCCCCCTGGGTGACCCTCTGTGAATTCAGAGTCCACGGCACCTGACAGCTTTCTAAGTTGGAGTCATGGGGTCAGTTTCTGGGCTCGGCCAGGGAGGGGCCTCCCTGGGATCCCAGCTCTGCCACCAGCTTGCTGGGTGACCACAAGCAAGTCTTGTCCCTTCTTGAAGCCTTGGATTCTATACCCACAAGCTAAGTGTCCGGGGCCTGTCTCCGTGGGGCCCAAGGATTGTACCACGGACAATGTTTAGCTTTGCAGTTAACTGAGAAAGCCACAGAATTGAGGGTAAAGTTGGAGCTCATGCTCTGCTCCTCAGGCCAGACCCTGGAGGGGACTTTGTGAATGGATGTTTGATAAAAACTGCAGCCCCGCTGCTCTTTACCAGGTGCTTGGCATGTGAAGCATCTCAGAGCATCTTCACAAACCATCATGGTTTTGAAAGGCAACTTTAAAAGCAATGCCAAGAAGTAGCTAGGGAAAAATGAAAATCCCTGATTGGGCAGAGGCGGTGGATGGGGCTCCTGGGGGGGGGAAGGAGCTCCGAGCCCCGAGGAGGTGCTGGGCCCTGTGGGCGTCCCTTCCCTGTGCCCGCAGTGCTAGCGATCCTGTGCAGCGCCTCCCCTGTCCAAGACCATCACACAGGCCTGCAGCCGGGCCCCCAGGGACCTCTCCTGTCTCTCCACAGGGCATCTTCATCTTCTTCCTGGTCAAGTACAAGCCTCTCAAGTACAACAACATGTATACCTACCCCACCTGGGGCTACGGAATTGGCTGGCTCATGGCACTCTCGTCCATGCTGTGCATCCCACTCTGGGTCTTCATCAAGGTGTGGAAGACAGAGGGGACGCTGCCTGAGGTGAGACAGTCCCGGGCAGGAGGCCAGCTGGCAAGGGCAGCTCTGAGGGGGGCTGAGGCACATGCAGGGACTGGCTCTGCCTCGGGTGGGCCAAAGAGCAGGAGCAAGTCCATGGGTCTTACCTGAGCAGGGAGTGTGTTAAGAATGAGCCCTCGTGTGTCTCTCAGGGAAGCCACTGCCAGCCCCTCCCTGGCAGGTGTTCATTGTTTCCGTTATGTGAGGTCATCAGTATGAGGCCTTGAGGTTGGGCCAGGTTCTCTGAGTTTCCTTATCTGTAAAATGGGGACAACAGCAGTTCCTGACTTACAGAGGGTTTTATAAGGACTTGGTGAGTTCATACAGGGAAAAGCACTCAGACCAGGACCTGGAACAGAGAGTGACCAAGTGGTAGCTTTTACTGTCCTGTTAATTCATGAAGGACCCCATACCTGGGGCGAAGGGAGGGGGAACACCTATCCCGTGTCATCACCGTGCCAGACTCTGTACATGCTGTATCTCCTTTAGTCCTCAGAGCAAAGCAGGTGCTGGCCTCATTTTCTGCATTCAATAGGTAGAGAAACTGAAGCTCGGAGAAGTTAAATCATTCAACCCAAAGTGAGCATCACACAGCCAAAGCTTAGCAAACCAATTTTTTTAAATTGAGATATGATTGACATATAGCATTAGTTTTAGGTAACAATATAATGATCTAACATTTGTATGTATTGTGATCACCACAGTTAAGTCTAGTTAACATCTATCACCCTGCAGTTCCAAATGTTTTTCTTGTGATGAGAACTTTTAAGATCTATTATCTTAGCAACTTTCAAATATATAGTACTGTATTATCAACCATAGTCACCATGTTGTGCATTATGTCTCTATGACTTCTTTATTACGTCTCCATGAAGTTTGTACATGTGGACCCCCTTCACCCATTTCCCCACCCACCCCCACCTCTGGCAACCACCAGTCTGTTCTCTGTATCTTTGAGCTCTGTTAAGTGTTGTTTGTTTGTGTGTTAGGTTTTTGTTTGTTTTTCAGTTTTTGGGTTTTTTTAGGTTCCACATATAAGTGATGCCATATGGTATTTGTCCTTGTCTGATTCATGTCACTTAGCATGATACCCTCAACGTCCATCCATGTTGTCACAAACAGGATTTCCCTTTCTATGACTGGGTAATATTCCAGTGTGTGTGTGTGTGTGTGTGTGTGTGTGTGTGTGTGTGTGTATACACATACACATACATACATATATATGCGTGCCACATCTTCTTTATACATTCATCCACAGATGGACAGTTGGGTTGTTTCCATGTCCTGGCTGCTGTAAATAATGCTGCAGTGATCATGGAGGCATACATACCTTTTCAAGTTAGTATTTTCCTTTCCTTCAGATAAATACCAGAAGTGAAATTGCTGGATCATATGGTACGTTCTATTTTTAACTCTTTGAGGAAACTTCAGAATGCTTTCCATGGTGGAAAACAATCTTGTTACAGTATGTTTTATATATCCTAAAATTCACGTCAGGTGTACCATTCAGTGATTTTTGTAGTAACTTTCTGTGTGTGAGAGTCATCACCAGGAGTCAGCTTTAAAACCTGTCCACCACCCTAAGAAGACCCCTCATGCCCTTTCACAGTTTTCCCCATTCCCACCCCAGACACCATGCATCTCCTGTCTCTGTGGATTTGCCTGCTCGGGACACTTCCTGTCAGCGGCATCGTACCATATGTGGTCCCTTGGTGGCGGGCAGAGTTACAAACACACCGTGGTACTCCAGAGCATCCGCTGGCTCTTTACTCTCCTTTCCCACCTGCTGGCACATCAGATGGCTTGAGTCACTTTCTCACTCATTTAGGGAACTGCTACGTGCCAGACGCTGTTCTGTTTACAAACACCGCACCATCGAATTCTCATAGTAGTCCCCTGCGGTGGAGGCTCTTCCTGTTCCCGCTTCGCAGAGGAGAAAGCTGAAGCACAGAGAAGTGAAGCAGCTTGTCCAAGAGCACACAGCCTCAGAGTGACAGAGCAGAAACTCTGAAGTCTGGGCTCTCATTGCCCGAGTTTTGCAGCCTCCTTCATCTGCTAGCCTGGCCACACTCCACTGCCAGCCCCCGTCTCTGCCCCAGTGCCACATGACAGGGATCTCAGGGGTTGACCTTTCTCTCTCCAGGACAAGGCCAAAGGGAAATGGGAGTAGTTGTGTATGCAGACACCCAAATGCAGCTCAGAGCCAGCTGCAACCAGCCTGCCTGCCCACCGAAGGGCCTAAGCTCCAGAAAAAAGCTCCACATATCCAGCCAGAAGGAGCAAGCCGAGAGGGAAAGTCCCTTTCTCAGACCTGCTCATGCCCCCAAAGAAAGTTTCCTTGGCTCCTGCAGGGAATATAGGTCAAGGGCAGTTGGTGAATTTTGATCTGGAACCAAACCATGTCCGTGGTCCCTGCCGGCCCCTGTCCAAACTTCTGTGGCCTTTGGTATTCAGGAATGCTCTATGTCGCCTTACAAATCCTCCAGAGATCAGCTCAGGCCTGCCAAGCAGGGAGGGAGGGAGCGAGGGAGGGCTGGGGAAGGAGAGGCTACTTTCCTGAGCTTCTTCCACGTCCCTAAGCTCCCGTACCTGCCTCCACAGACAGCAAGGTTCGTTAAAGACAGCAGAACTGGTTTCCAGGCCTTCCCTGAAGGTTCTACCAGCTGACAGGAAGGATCTGGAAGGAATAATGGGGTCAATGGTACTTACGCCTCTGAGAACTGCTGTGAGGATAGATATCTGTGCTAGTCTGTGACAAGCTCAACTAAACTGGACCTCATGTTAATCCTAGGAGACAGGTGCCCTTGTTCTCCCCCTTTGACAAATGAGGACACTGAGACGCAGAGAGGTTAAGTTTCTTGCCCCAGTTCAGTGGCAGAGCTGTGATTCAAACCCAAGCGCCTGGCTCTGGAGCCAGTAGTCTTTGCCCCTGTCCTGTGTCAAGAGCTTAGTGCAGTGCCTGGCACACAGGAGGCGTTCAGCACGGGGGAATCGGGCTGCCTATCCCACCTGGACAACGTAGGTTCAGCCTCGTAGGCATGGCAGTATCTGCAAGAGAAGACAGAACCTTGATCATGAAAAAACAGGCCTCCCGAGTCTTTGCGGCTTCCCTGGGGGAAAGGGTTTATGCCCAGCAAGGACATCTCAAATCCTGGTATAGTGTCTTCTCCTGATGGAATGTGTGGGGTACATGTGAAGCTGAGGTGTGGGGCCCCAGGCAGCATTGTGGCAGCAGACGTGTGTCAGGAGTCTGCCTGTGTCCTCTGCTCCCTCACTGGTACAGTCAGGATGAGAGTCATGCCATCTGTGCCCAGCCCAGTGCTGGCCACTTTCCAAGTGGAATGGGGCTGTGGCTGTGACAATGTTCCCACCTTTAAGCGTGGCCAGAGGAGCACATGGCACACACCACATGTTCCCCTGGACAGTGGCAATGTGATGACATCCCTTTTGTGGGAAATATACCCATTTATCCAGCAATCATGTAAACAGCCCTAGAGTGAGCCTTAGCTCCCTCATACAACACCCCTTGCAGGCAAGTACTATTATCCCATTTCACAGAACAGGAAAGCGCAGCTCATAGAGGTTAGATAACTTCCCCAACACAGCTAGGGAGTGGCTGAGCAGAGATTCAAAGCCCAGCTGCTCTTCTCCACCACAGGGAGGGACGAGGTGGTCAGCCCCCGATTATACCCAGTAGGCCAGGTACAAGGCTAAGCACTTGTACAAACCATCTCCTTACTCCTCATTGTCCCCATTTTCCAGAGGAGGAAACTGAGACCCACGAAGGTCAGTTCATTAGAACAGAGCTTTAAGTGACAGCGCTAAGGCCCAGATCTTGGTCTGATGGCTCTGTGGCCCCGTGGTGTCCACCCATGCAGGTGGGAGAGGCCGAGGCAGGTGCCGGGACCCCGGCAATCCCTCTCAGACAGCTCTTCTCCTCTCCACGTAGAAATTCCGGAAGTTGACCATCCCCAGCGCTGATCTGAAAATGCGGGGCAAGCTTGGGGGAGGCCCACGGACGGTGACGGTTAATGACTGTGACGCCAAACTCAAGGGCGATGGGACCATTGCAGCCATCACAGAGAAGGAGACACACTTCTGAGCAACACCTCCACCTCGGATGCCTCTCCTTCCTTTCCTCCCCCCACCCCATGTGTGTAAATGAATACCTGAAACATGTATTTCACCTAATGATAGAGGCTTGCTCGTTTTGCACAGGATTTATTAACAAGTTAATTTTAAGGTGGCCGTGTACACTCTGGAAAGTCGCATTCCCCTCCTTGCCCCCAGTTATCATGTAAGTAACATTACAAAGAGATAATACTGTACAGGGACTAGCAGAATCTTCTGTGCTAGGATGGTGTTAACCAATGTTTTCTAGGGGGTAGGGAGAAGTTGTATCATATGGTCAAACTTTTATACTTGGGCTGTGGGGCAGGTGGGGTGGGAGTGATGCCTGTTCTCCGTCAGCCTTTTAGCTGACCAGACCGCATCCCACGCTCGTCCCTGATGAGCTGCCTATCCTCCATGCCCCCAGGAAGCCTTTGCCTTCAAATCCTGCCCTTGCCATCCCCGATCCCTTAGTAGTGGGTTTGCAGACAGCAAGGCTGTGTCAGAGGAGAGAAAGTCCCACCAGACTCAGGACTCCTGGGTTATAGCCCACCCCCAACCCCACCTCCGCCCTGATCCCTCTAAGTGACCTTGGGCGCTCCCATTACCTCCCTGGGCCTCAGTTTCCCCATTTCTCAAATGGGGAGGGCTGGATCCGGTGATCTCTGAGGTCCTTCCTGGCCCTGCCACATCTCTTGGGGATTCTCTCAGTGTGCCTCACTGGCTGGCAGGCCTGACCTTGATCTTGGATTATTCTGAAGACTCACTCCCAAGCTATCATCGCTGCATTGCACCTCCTGCTTATTTAAAATCAAGTTTGTTGCAAAAATGATGTGGTGTTTCCCCCTAAAACTCTAGTTTGATGCGTCTGTGAGTGGCTCCATTCTCTGGAGTCCTTCCAGGTCCTAGGCCCCCATGACAGGGCTCCTCCTGTCCTATCCATCTGCTCTCCCCCCTCATCTTTGCCTCTCCATTCTCATGGGGCTCGCTGGCATCTCCTGGGCGCTAATATTTGGGGTCAGGAAGCAGCCGCTATTCCCTTGTGGCTGTTTGTCCTGCCGCTGCCCCAGCAGGGATCTGTGTCTAGAACCTTCCACCAGCCTCCCAGGGGAAGGAGCCATAGTAGGGCCAGAACCCTGGTTTTCTCCTCTGACCCCTTCTCCATCTGCCTGTCACCTCTTCTCCTTCTTGCTGTCCTCTGCCCTTCTCTCTCTCCCCCTGTCCTACTTCCTCTCAGTCCTCCCCATCTTCTTTCCTATCACCAGCAGACCCTCCTCTCAGAGGCTTCTTCCTCACCCTGTTTTTGGGAGCCATCCTACCTGCCTCCCTCACCAGGTGGCTGAGAAGCCTTGGCACTTATACTGGAGGGGAGAACTGGGCTCCCACCCCTCCCTCTGTGCAGGCCTGGGGTTGCTGGGGGGTGAGGCCAGTGCTGCCTCAGACCCCTCTGCCTGACCTCTCTTCTTTAACTGGATTTCATCAACCCTCTCTCTTGGATTCTGAGTTATTTGGGGACAGGGAAGGTGCATTCTTTATCCTTTTCCTGTATGTTGCCGGTTTTATTTGATGGAAACAGGAGCTTTCTCCAAACTAAGACTTGAGTTTCCCATAGGGAACCCACCTGTTTGATTCACCCAAAACTTTCCAAACTGACAGCTTCTCTGCTCTGGCCAGCCCCCACCTGAAGCCCAAGTTTGCTAGAAGGGATGCCCAGTGCCCACCCCCAAGGCAGGTTGGGACGCCTGGTTCTGGGCCCCCTTTTGCACACACTGCCCAGGCCTGCCTGGCTCTCCCTACGCTGTCTGACCTGGTGGCCCCAGAAGTGGACCCAGGAAGATTGGGCCTTGTGCTGAGCCCTCTGCTTGTGTCTGTCCTCGGCTACTCTTCTTGTCCCACCAGGTGCCGGGGAAGGAGACTCCCCCCAGCTGCTGCTACCGATTCTCCACCTACAGCTCTGAGGTCTTGCTGGGGACGCAATGCATTGTACCTGTGGCACTTAACATTTCACTCACTTAACACTACTCATGGGGCAGGGCGGAGGGAGGGCTTTTGCTCTTTGTTTTTTGTAATTTCCTACTAGTATTTGGGCAACTTGGGGTGGGGCGGGGAGGGAAATGTGGGGGCAGGGGAAATGTCATTGTGGTGACTTTTTTGATATTCATTAGAAACAATACATCCTTTCTGAGATATTTACAGAATTATTAAAAAATGAAAAAGGTTGTACTGTTTTACATAATGAACGTTTTTATTGGGTATTCAAAGGGCACACGATTGTCTGCTTACTCATTTTTAAAAATTAAAGGAATGAACACACTATATGTGGCTGTTCCCAGCAGAGTGGTATTCATTGAGTTGCTCTTCCTGTACTGTATTACCTCCACGATATACCTGCAAAACCACCTTGGTTCCATACTTGGAGGTTGCCGTTTTAACTCAGGATTACAAATTAGAAGCACCCGGGGGTGTTGTAGGAACCCACACTTCCTTTCCTTCCTCGCCATCATCTCCTTGTGCTAGGTCCTCTACAAAAGTTGTCTCTTTACTCCTTCAAAATAGTCCCATAACAGAGGCTCCTCCCACGTATTACATCCCCCACTTTACAGATAGGGGAAATTGAGACACAGAGAAGTCAGGTCTGTCTGAACTCAAAACCCAGTCTGAACTCAAAACTCAAAACCCTGTCTGAACTCAAAACCCACTGTGCCTTACTGTCTCCATGCTGGCAGACCTGCATGTCTGAGGCAGACAAGGTAGGGTGGAAAGACATGACGATTTGAAACATGCAGCCCTGGTTTGGGCTCCAGGATAGTCCACAGAACAGTAAGATCATCCATATACAGTGTCTGCTCATTCCTGTGTGGTTGACTCTTCTGTTTAAAATCCCCGATCTCAGGATCCACCGAAACCTGTCTTGGCCTCTCACCCTCTCTCAGGCAGTAGCATCCACTCACAAGGAAAGCATCCCCACAGAGTTCCAGGTTCAGAAAATCTCTGATGGCCAGAGGGTCCCTGAGAACTTAATAATTTCATAGAGCCACAGGGATTGGTACAGTCACCTATCTGCCACCATTCTCTCCTCGTGTCTGAAAGTGTATTAAGCAGTTGGTGCAAAGCATTTAAGACACAAAGAGACTGGGTCACAGAAATGTGGGTCTCCCTCATCCCCAGGAAATCTGATTTGCAGACACTTAAGCTTACAGAATTGTAACCTATGGCATTATTTTACCCAGTAGACCCTGTAGCCTGCAGTGTGTGCTAGTGACCCCTGCTGGCCAAATGTGACCCTGCAGCCTAGCTCTGTTAGGCACTGCAAATAACCAGAGCACAGAGGAGGTTTGGAAGTGAAGTCAAAGTCTACTCAGACCTAGGAGATTTTCCTCTGGTTTTGGGAAAGGGGGCAGGGGAGAGAATCAGGCACTGAGGAGCTGATACTTTCTGCTGAGGGCTACAGATTTTAGAAATTGGGTCATGTATTCAGCAGGCTTTTACTGAGTACCCGTCATGTTTCCTGCCTGGACCTAGAACTGGGGATATTAAGACAAATGGAAAATCCCCTTTCCTTGAATGTTTCTGCTCTTTCAGGTCAAGAGGACAGGTGTCCACACTCCCCTGGATAGGGGTAAGTACATGGAGAAGCTGTTCTTGCTTCCTATCCCCAGCCTTCTCCAGCTAGTTTGAGCTCTGCACTGCATCCCTGGGCAAGTCTGCCCACTTTTCTGGACTTCAGCTTAGCCATTGGGAGAAAGGTGAAGAAAATGAAATGCAGAGAGGAAACAGCTGGCTTAAGAGTCCCCTAGAGACCCTCTGCACCGTCTCAGACTGTTAAAAATCAAATGGATCATTGACCCAGGCAGCTTGTTAGCCATTAGGGAGCAAAGTCCATCTGTTGCCAACTCTTGGCCTCCTCTGCCTCTCAGGTTTGAATAAGATCACTTTACGGCGCGGGGGGAATGCACATGTACTGTTTGAGAAACTACAGGGTGGAATGTGCCAGGGACCAAGTGCTCTGGGAGTGCCAAGCATGGGGAAAGAACTCTTTACTGAGCACCTACTGTGTTCCAAGTGTCATTCCTGCATTACTTCACCAGAGCATCACAACAAATCTAAGAAGTGCTATTAATCCCATTTTCATATGGAGGAACTAAAATTCTGGAGATGGTAAAAAAAATTTCCCCCCCACCTACCCAAATGATACCAGATATACCTCCTGGAAGATGAAGAAGCTGGGCTGGACCAAGGCTTGTTGGGTCTAAATAGAGCCCATGTGCCCAACCTCTTAACCAAGGATGTGGGACTTGAGCTGCACCTTGAGGGATGTGAAGACTTCACCAGCAAGAAGAACATTTGAGATGAGGGAACAGCCTGAGCCAAAGTAGAAGTAGTGTACTGTCTTTGGGGGAACATGGTGGAAAAGAAAGTCCTCCCCATCCCTGGTATACTCTTACAACTCCTTGTACAACCTCACCAGCTGTGAGGGTGGCCCCTCCCCATTCTCTCAGAACAAGGGGGTTAAGTAACACCACGCTCCTTTGGGATGGCACTGTGCAAGTCCTGGCACAGAGTGGGTGCTCCATAGGACAGGGCCTCCAACGAACAAATGCTTGGCTTGCCATAGAGTGGGGAACCATGGGAAAGGGAATCAAAAGGCACTGAAGACCCACTCGGTGCTGAAACCATGCTGGGATCCTTCATATGTATCACCTTGCCCTCAATCCCCTTGTGGATTGCCATGGTGTTCATTTTCTACCAATGAGGAAACAGGCTCAGAGAAGTAGAGTAGGCAGCCCAAGGTCCCAGAGCTGGATAGTTGCAGGGCTACTGTAACAGCCCCATGGGATTCTGGCTCCAAGGCTCATGCACTTTCCACAGACCACTTTTGGGAGCCATCGAGTGCCATCACAGCCATCAGCACTGAAGAATCATTAAAGGCCATGGAGAAACGGATGATGGAGGCCAGGTGGGGAAGGTTGGAAAGTCTCTAGGAGTCTTGAAATATAGTTTGGACACAAGAGACTTCTGGAAGCCTCCATAGTTTCTCAGAAATGATAGAAGGTCACTGGGGTTCAGTGAGATGGACAAAGGAATGTTTGGGGCTAATGAGAGGCACTGAGAGTGGAAGGGACCATTGGAACCCTGGAGACCTGCAGGAGAGGTTGAGAGGTACTGAATGAGGAGCTAGAATTATGTGGAATCAGTGAGAGATGGAGCCTTTAGGAGT